GATCTTGGGAGACAGATCTGTCCTCGCTTACAGACAACCCCCCAACCTGAAGCAAATACTCACACATCACTGAACAAAAACACTGACCCAGGAACCTATCCTTGCAACAAAGCCGGATGCCAACTCTGTCCACATATCTATTCAAGTGACATCATCACAGGACCTAATCACATCAGCCATAGCATCAGGGGCTCGTTCACCTGCACATCTACCAATGTGATATACGCCATCATGTGCCAGCAATGCCCCTCTGCCATGTACATTGGCCAAACCGGACAGTCTCTACACAAAAGAATTAATGGACACAAATCTGACATCAGGAATCATAACATTCAAAAACCAGTGGGAGAACACTTTAACCTGTCTGGTCATTCAGTGACAGACCTGCGGGTGGCAATTTTGCAACAGAAAAGCTTCAAAAACAGACTCCAATGAGAAACTGCTGAGCTGGAATTGATATGCCAACTAGATACAATCAACTCAGGATTGAATAAGGACTGGGAATGGCTGAGCCATTACAAACATTGAATCTATCTCCCCTTGTAAGTATTCTCACACGTCTTATCAAACTGTCTGTACTGGGCTAGCTTGATTATCACTTCAAAAGTTTTTTTCTCTTACTTAATTGGCCTCTCAGAGTTGGTAAGACAACTCCCACCTTTTCATGCTCTCTGTATGTGCATATATATATCCTCAATATATGTTCCATTCTATACATCCGAAGAAGTGGGATTTAGCCCATGAAAGCTTATGCTCTAATAAATTTGTTAGTCTCTAAGGTGCCACAAGTACTCCTGTTCTTTTTGCGGATACAGACTAACACGGCTGCTACTCTGAAACCTTAGAATCAGACAATCAGAGAATCTCAGGAGGTATCTAGTGCAACCCGCTGCTCAAAGCAGGACCAACCCCAACTTCCGCTACATTCCCCTGGAGGGGGCCCGGCCCTGCCACGGGGAGAGGTTTGGTAATAACTGGGCCTATCAATTTAATCTCATTGCAGCTCAGCTGTAGAAAGGGAGTGAAAGTTCCCAAGAGATCACAATAATCTGTAACACATATTGATGGGAAAAGGGAGACAAAGGCTGAATTAGTCAGCTGGTGGAACTCCAGGGCTGTGTTCCAATCATGCCTGGTGGTGTGCTGGGAAGGAGACTGAGCTGGTGACCACCATAGTGAGGGGACGGGCTAGTCCGCCCAGCTCTCCCTTCTGGAGCTCTTCAAAGAAAAGGAAGACTTGGGGGCGGGGGGGGGCTGGGGGGGGATTAGCCCAAGGAGCTGTCTGCCGACACCCACTGCAGTGAGCTAACCCTGCCGCCGCCTCCTGGGACCACGAGCTCTCCCATAACACCCTCGTCTGTATCATCCTAATCCTGAGAAATGACTTGGCCAGGCCAGACCAGAGAGGGACCCAGATGTCATCACCACCTCCACTGGCTCCCACACAATCCCAAATACCTGCTGGGATTTGAGACGGTCATTCCCACCCCCCACCCTTGTGTGTTCTGTTCCTTCCCACCTTACTTTGGTTCTTTCTGTCCCTCTTCTTTTTCCTTCTGTGTAATAAGAGTCTGGCTTAGTCAGCCAAGACGACGTGTGGCACCCCCGCAGTAAACCTGGGACCAGAGAAGCAAGTAAGAGCAATGCCCTGAACAGCCTGAGCCTGGTACAAGTTTGCCTGGGCTTGGAGTGGGAGAAGAGGCCGTGGGCTGGACCTGTGGTTTTCCAGCAGCCAGGCTGTGAGTGCGAATCAGCACCAGAGCCAGAAACCGCGTTTTGTCTCTTCGCTGGGCTTTTCTCTCCCCTTTCGCAGGTTTGTCTTTTAGGAAATGGGATCAGACTTTAACAGCAGTGACGGCTCCAGCCCATCTCAACTAAAGGTCATCCCCTCTGTACTGCCATCGGAGAGACTGCCAGATGGGGCTTCCTTTAAAAGCTCGCCAGCTAACGGACAGGGAGCAAGGGGTGTCTTCACAATGACAGTTTTATTTAACACGTAGCATGTCGAATGCTTTACCTCTTTTCCCTTCTGTATCTTTAACAAGGGCTAGAGGCTGTTCACTGGGGTGTTTGCCAGTGGAGCAAGCCGCTGAGCTCTCCGGATACCAAACGGCGACCTTGTTTAACACTGTTTCATGTTGGACAGTGACTGGGTTATGTTACCTCCTTTGACTATCTGGGCCCATTTACTCCATCGTATGTTCTCTCATTCCTCTACATGCAGCCCTGGGAGCTCACTGCCCAATTTCTCCATGGAGCCTGCTGACCAGGGGCCTTGCCGGAGCGCGGTTGGGGCTGCACACAGAGCCAAGACCACCTCTCGTGGCAGGCTGAAGGCAGCCCCTTCCCGTCACTCCCTGCTGGCCTGGGCTGCACTGGAAGGGGCAGGCTGGGCTGCCATGCCCCACTCCCAGCCCCTCCGGGACACCCTGCCCAGAGGTCCCTCCCTTCACTTAGTACAGGCCCCTCTCCCTGCTCCATGTGACTCGTGTCAATAACACCCCAGAGGGGCACGTGCCTGGCCTGCTACCTGCTGGTATTAGCTGCTTGTGAACTGACAAACCCGCTTCTCCCATAGCCCCTTCAGCCTGCATCCCATTCCTGTCACTCATGGCTCCTCCCCCACTCCCCAGCCAGCATGCACCTATCGCTGCTCCCAGGTGCATGCTGGCTGGGGAGTGGGGGGAGGAGCTTCCCAGAGGAGGTGGCACTAGCCAGGGGGGTTTGCTTTGGGCAGGGACTGGGAAAGCCAGCGTGGGGGCTGCCCCAGAGGCCTGAACCCCCATGCCCCAGGGGACACCAGGCACACAGCCGGCTGGGCTGGCACACAGAGTCCAGGCAGACATGTCCCTGTCACCGAGTCACACTCACACCTGGCAGAAATCACACACGCACACACAGGTCTCAGTGTGGCCAGGAAGAATGGCTGGGACTGGGTCCCCACCCCCATCTCATCCGACTCTCCCCTGAGCCCTCCCAGGCGCTTCCCACATGGAGGCTGTGCTGGGAAGACCCACTGACTAATGGGGCGCTGGCCTGGACTGTCGTGTGCCACAGCACCACCACCACCCGGTGCTGCACGGGCCCCTTCCGACACGCATGGGCCCCAGGCGAGCCAGCAGGCAGAGCCCAGCCCAGCTGCAGCATCTTGGGGGATGTGGCCACAGACACACGCTTCCTCCTCGGTTGGCAAACGCCAGCAGGCTGAGGGGGAAACCCCAGGCCTGGGTTAATGCCACGGCTGAGCCGGGCTGGCTCCTCGCTGCCCAGTGCCCCGGCTCTTGCTGTTCCGCCCGCCCCACTCCCAGGCCTGCCCTCACCCTCGGGACTTGGGAACCCCGCTGGCACTCCCACTGGCCCCCCTCAGCCGCTCCCCAGCAGCACCCCAGACACCGCAGGGGGAACAGGTGCAGGCGCCTGCCCCAAGCCCCACAGCTCCTCTCAGCAGACCCTCCATTCAGCAGCCTGGTTCCTCCTGAGACTGTAACTCTGGCAGTAGCTTGGGCACTTGCCTCTCGGGGCTGCAGGGAGAGGAAGCTGTTCCAGCCCAGCTCTACCCCATATTCCTAGCAGAAGTCCCAAGCACCTCACACAAACCCAAACCCTAACCCTAACCCAAACCCTAACCCATGGCTGGAGAAATTATCCTGCCCCAGCAGGAATCTCTTGCATAGTGTTACTGCTGTATCCCAGCCCAGAGGCAGCCGCATTTCAGGGCTCAGTAGGCACAGATGCTGTAGGGGTCTGTTAATGGCTGGAAAACAAGCCAATATTATGGAGGTGTCTGCACCCTGGAAACCATGCGCTGATCCACGGGGAAATCAGACAGCCTGAGCAGACATGGCAGATCCACCTGAGCAGGTGTGAGCCCAGGTAAGTGGTGCCTGAGCAGCACACACCTAGAATTACAGCTGGGCGGGAGGTTTTCACCAGAAGTTTTTCACCAGAAAAAGCTGATTTTCCTGGATAGGGCTGGGTTTGATGCGTTGACAATGTTTTGAAATTGCTGAAACATCCCGTTCCTATGTTTTCAAAATGAAAAGTTCTGGTTTTCGGTTCAAACTGACGTCCCGTTTCGAAATGCAAGTTCATTCAGAATTTTTAAAGTGTTCAAAAAAATGAAAAAGGTCAAACCCCTAGTAAACCATTTCCACTGACAAGAGCCACAGCCACGTTCGGCTCCCCGCCATTCTCACGTTCCATCCCGATTCGCAATGGGAACCTTTTCTGAAATCTCAAATTCTTCCGGGAGGGGAGAACCATTTCCTGCCCAGCTCCACCTGGAACCCTGGGCCTTTCCCTGTGCTGGGCAGGGGCAGCTCTCCCCAGTCCACATGCAGCCCCAGGGGCCAGGCAGGCGGGGACAAATGCTGCTGATTGCTGGATGGGGTACTGTTTGTTGACTGAGATTCCCCTTATCAGGCAGAGGGCTTTGGATAAGCTGAAACCTTTGCTTGCCAAACAAACAATTGCCCATCAACAGCTCCATTTATTGGCTCTATCTTGATCTTATCCGTTTGCTCCCTGATAGGGAGAGAGATCCCTGAGACCCAGCCACAGTGCTCAAGGTTCGACAGAGAGGAGACAGCACCCCGGGCCCCAGGGGGGAACGGGGACACAGAGGGTCCACCGCGATGACCTGCCAAGCACCCGCCTCTCCGAGCTGCAGGCTGGGCCACTCCGGTGTTTCACAGCAAGAACCAAACTGCTCTACAGAGAAGCCACATTGTCCACAGAGAGGTGAGCACTGCCTGAAGCGGTCAGCTCCTAGAACTCAGCTGCCCGCTGCTCACTACATCGGACGGATTTGTCTCAGCAAAATGCTTGGCATGGGGCCACCATAGTCACCTCCCCATCGTCCCCAGGTCCCAACAGCTCTGCTGAGCCCCCAGCCCCGCCACCGCCCGGGTGCCACGCTGGCATTCCCTCCCAACTCACCAGGATGTCCATGCTCTCCCGGCGGAAGGGCGGCTGGTCCGGTCTCTCCCCGGTGGGAGTGAAGAGGAAGGTGGAGGCAGAGCCTGAGGACCGCATGATGGGTAGACTCAGCGATTTGAAGTCTTTCACGGCCTGCTCCACCTTGAGCTCATCGCCGGGTTTGGCTGTGAGGGAGCGCAGGGCAGGGGGTCAGCCGACGGGCACTAGCCTCAGCACCCAAGCGATTGCTATGGGTAGTGGCGTGAGCCCCGTGGCTCCTGGCCCAAGGGCAGCATGACTCACCCAGCGTCCGTGGCTGGGCATGGCAGACACTCCTACCTCCCCAGGGCTGGAGGAAGCCCAGGTCTGTCCCAGGTCCGCTAGCCTGAAGCCAGCATGCCCAGCCCCGACCCAACTGCCCACGCCGCCGACAGGAGCCCACCGGGCACAGCTCAGCCTCGCCCTCGCTGCCACACACGTGCACCCGAGGGGGGCTTCATCCTCTCCAGGTGCGGATGCTGCTGCACTGCTCAGATGGTGACCCCTGCTAGACACTGCAGGAATAACATGGGGCCCTGCCTTCCTCCCCCGGCTCCCCCCAGGGGATATGGAATGGGACGTGCAGCTGGGAGCCACTTTGAGCGAGGCCTGGCCCCCTTCCCCAGGCACAAACTCAGCCACCCCCACCCTGCAGGCTGGAAAGGCTGCCCGCGCTGGCCCAAGGGAGATCAGCACACTGAGTCCTTCTCTCGCTCCCTGGGCAGAAGCTGGATTTGAACCATGCCAACCCTGACCTGGGCTGAATGGGCATGTGCGTCCCGAGAGGGGAAGGTCCCATACCCCATTCCCTATGCAGCCCGAGATGCTACGGACCTAGAGCCTAGAGGGCAGCAGCTGAACATCCCCCAGAGCCACTTCCTGCAGCACGTGGGCTCTGCACTGGGGTCATCCCCGCTCCCGCCGAGCCATGGGACACGCGGGGCCGGACGGGACGCACCTTTCACCCTCAGGTAGTGTCCCCCGAAGCGGTACGCTTCGAAGCTGAGTGACAGAGGCGTGTTGGACTGATCCAGATAAATATCCACCTTCGCCAGCTCGATCCCTTTCCTCTCGAACACCGGCAGCAGCACCTCCCTGGGGGGGCAGAGAAAGA